CATCTTCTGGTTCACTCCCAAGATGGCTGCAATGGCTGGAGCTGGGCCAATCCGAAGCCAGGAGATTCCTCCAGGTCTCATGTGGGTGTAAGGACCCAAGGACTTGGGCTATCTTCTACTGCTATCCCAGGCCACAGCAGAGAGATGGATCAGAAGAGGAGCAGCTGGGACTAGAACAGGTACCCATATGGGATGCCAGCGCTTCAGGACAAGGCTTTAACCCACTGTGCCACAGCACCAGCCCCTTGGCAAAGTTTTTTTTTTTTTTTTGACAGGCAGAGTGGACAGTGAGAGAGAGTGAGACAGAGAGGTCTTCCTTTTGCTGTTGGTTCACCCTTCAATGGCCGCCATAGCTGGTGTGCTGTGGCCGGCGCATCACATTGATCTTAAGCCAGGAGCCAGGTGCTTCTCCTGGTCTCCCATGTGGGTGCAGGCCCAAGGACTTGGGCTGTCCTCCACTGCACTCCCAGGCCATAGCGGAGAGCTGGCCTGGAAGAGGGGCAACCGGGACAGAATCCAGTGCCCCGACCGGGACTAGAACCTGGTGTGCCGGCACCACAAGGTGGAGGATTAGCCTATTGAGCCATGGCACCGGTTGGAAAAGTGTTTTAAAACCTATTTGCAACAGAATTCCTCTCATCACATCTTTGGACCAAAATTCCACATTATGGCTTCTCGAGTCCTGAGCTACAACAGTAACACAGACATCAATATTGGCTTTACTAGCTATGTACACTTAAAGCCACTGGATTTCAGAGTAAGTTGGAAAACAATCTTCCAGATTCAATATTGCTTAAGTTTTACAAAATTGTTTAAGGTCTTGGGATAGTTCTTGAACTCCCCCAAAAATGGGAATCCTATTCTTCTATGCCTAAAAGATAAACCTTGCAGAGGTTGCTACCATCTGTGCCCTTCTAATGACCAGTGAAGATTTTTTTCACCAGGAGTCAACTCCCTCTTGTCTGTGAGTGACTCCATTCCCTGGGAATTTATGTTTCCTGTTTTTCTCTTGCTGTCCTATTGTAGCTTTTCATCATGAACATCCACCCACCAAGGCTCAAACTATTATCACGACAAATGCATCTTCCTGTAAGGTTATGGACAGAATGTTTATATCTCCCATAGTTAAATACATTTGTGGAAAATGGAACAAAAATATAGGTTTACTATGCAAAAATGTTAAAAATATATGGGGTTAGGGGCCGGTGCCATGGCTCACTTGGTTAATCCTCCGCCTGTGGTGTCAGCATCCAATATGGGAACCGGTTTTAGTCCCGGTTGCTCCTCTTCCAGTCCAGCTCTCTGCTGTGGCCCAGGAGGGCAGTGGAGGATGGCCCAAGTGTTTGGGCCCTATACCAACATGGGAGACCAGGAAGAGGCACCTGGTTTCTGACTTCGGATCAGTGCAGCGCCGGCCGTAGCGACCATTTCAGGAGTGAACCAGTAGAGGGAAGACTTTTTTATCTGTCTCTCTCACTGTCTGTAACTCTGTCAAATAAAAAAAAAATATGGGGCTAGTTAATAAGTATATGTGAAAATATATTATGAAATACTACATGTAGTTTCATGTTTCTTTGCATCAAAATAATCTTTAATTTGCACAATACATCATAGCATCTCCATTCACTCTTCCATCTTCCTCATCTCATTCCTGAAGTTTGCAGACTCAAGAACTGAGACCCAGAATTGAGACTATACAGTTAACTCTTACTCTATTAGAATGTTCCCAAGTTCACTCAAATACACACTTCCATCCCTTTGTGAGCTAATTCTCATTGGAATTTGGAAGTCCCCTGACTACCCAAAGATGACTCTATGTAGAAAAGTGTGGTTACTGCAGCCAGTAAAAGCCTACTCTTCTGGAAAGAGGCTCCAGGATGGGACCAGTAATAGACCCAACACATAATTCCCAGGGTTGTACAGAGCATGGACTCTGGCAAACTCTCATGTACTTAGAATTTAACTTCTCCTTTAATGTGGGATAGTTCCTGTGTTTATGGATTATACTTTGCTGGCTTGGTGGGAAAAAAAATCAACAAAAGCAAATATTTGGAGCTTGTACTTTGAATGATAATAATTGACATGGTTGCATGTCCACATATTAGATATCTGTCTAAATCCCACAGTGAGAGGTGACTGTGTCTCCCACTATGATTTGTCTACTGCATTACACTACCCAAAATAATTTTATTTACGGTAGGATTCAGTTGGGTCAGCAAACACTGTTTATAATACTTAAATCATCCTGATAGTTTGAATCCTTTATCAATACTGAATGTTCTGTTTCTAAAAATGCTTTGATCTTAAAGTCAACACTTTCTGGAATAATATTACAATTTTGCCATTATTTGGATTTTATTTTCAATGCAAGCATAGGTTTCCCTTAAAATGTTTATTTTTGGATTTGAGGTTTGCAGTTCATGAATAGCATTAGAATATCCCCATGGGCTATGCCCAGGGCCAATGCAGTGTCTCAACTTGTTGCATTTTAAGTGGAGAGAATCACTTGTAAGACTGTCCTCAGGATACTAAATAAAAAAGGTAGAGATGGGGCTGGTATTGTGGTGTAATGCATAAAGTTGGCACCTATAGTGCCAGAATCCCATATGGGGACTGGTTCAAGTCCCAGATGTCCCACTTCCAATTCAGCTCTCTGCTATGGCCTAGGAAAGCAATAGAAGATGGCCCAAGTGTTTGAGCCCCTGCACCCATGTGGGAGACATGGAAGAAGCTCCTGGCTCCTGGCTTCAGATTGGCACAGTTGTAGCTGTTGCAGCAATCTGGGGAGTGAACCATCAGATGGAAGAACTCTCTCTCTCTCTCTCTCTCTGCCTCTGCCTCTCTGTAACTCCACCTTTCAAATAGATAAAATAAATCTTTAAAAAAATTTTAAAAGGTGGACCTTCCAACAGAGCATCTGTTATCACATTTGTACTCCAGTCACCTAGAAATAGAAATGGCCTTTCCATATGGTTGAAGTGTCCACTTTGAATGGGCACAAGATGAGATAGGAATTGAATGTAAATCCAGTTAGAGTCCAGCCAGAAAAAACTTTGTGAGTTGGGAAATTCACAGAGATTAAAAAAAAAAAAAGACTGAGGGTCACCTGGAAGGGAGAGGATAATGAAAAAGTAATGAAAAAGAGAAACAGAATCTGAAGCTACCATATCAGACAACCCTGAAGCTCTGTACTAGTGTCTACATTAAAGAAGGAATTCCAAAACTAGATTGTACTCCAATTTCCTATTGCCAAATGTGAGGAAATTCCAGGAACAGAAGTAAATTAATGATAAAAGGAACAGAACACTCCCAGATAAGAGGGTGAGCAACCTAAGAAGAAAATGATTGTTGCAATACAAGATTGGGTGTTTTCCCTTTCTAGAGTTGGGATGGGATGGTTCTGAGGCAATTCCTAATCAGATATTCAAATGAGTTGGAGTTTTGGGTGGTATTTGAATGCTGCTCACATTTATGTTCTTTTTGGGAAAATCTCAGGACTGCAAAGGTATTTAGTTGATGTGTTCCTATAGAACACATGGAGACTGAACAACATGCTGCTGAAAGAACAGTGGGTAACAGAATAAAAAATAAATAAAATTTCTAGACATAAATGAAGGTGACAACACATATCAAAACATATGCGGTACAGGAAAAGTTTGTAATAACTGGTGTAACAGTTGGTGCCTACATAGAGAAACTGGAAAAGTACCATATAAAGGAGCTATCTATGCATCCCAAGAAACTAGAAAAACAATAAATTGAAACAAAAAATACACACACAAAAAAAAACACAGTGAAATGAAGAGCTGTTTTTTGAAAAAATAAACAAAAATTGGCACACCATTGGCACAACTAACCATAAACAAAAGGAAAAGACCCAAATCAACAAAATCAGACAAAAAATAAATATAACAGATACCACAGAAACAAAAAGTGTCATCAGAAATTATTATGCATGCCAATAAACTAGGAAACCTAGATGAAATTGATAGATCTCAAGAAACATACAACCTATGAAAATTGAGTCATGATGATATAGAAAACCTAAACAGACCAATAACCAAGATGGAAACTGAATCAATAATAAAGACTCTCCCAATAAAGAAAAGCCCAGACCAGATGGTTTCACCACTGAATTCTACCAGACATTAAAGCAGAACTAATCTCAATTCTTCTCAAGCTATTCAAAACAATTGAAAGGAACCCTCCCAATCTCCTTTTATGAAACCTGCATCACCTTAATATCTAAATCTGAAAAAGATGCAATCTTACACCTTAAACAAAAATCCACTCAAAATGGATCAAAGACCTAAATCTATGACTGGAAACCACCACATCATTAGAAAGCATGGGAAAAACTCTACAGACATTGACACAGGCAAAGACTGCTTGGAAAAGGCACCCAAAACATATGCAATCAAAGCCACAATTGACAACTGGGATTACATCAAGCTGAGACGCTCCTGCAATAAAAAAGAAATACTCAGCAAACAGAAGAGACAACCCATAGAATGGGAGAAAATATTTGCAAATTATGCAACTGAGAAAAGGTTCACATCCAGAATCTATGAACAGCTAAAAAAATTCAACAAAACAAACAATCGCATGAATAAATGGGCAAAAGACTTAAAAATGAGTTTCTCAAGAGAGAAAATTCCAATGGCCAACACATTTTTGAAAAATGCTCAGGATCACTAGCAACAGGAAAATACAAATCAAAACCACAGTCTCACCTCACTCCAGTTAGAATGGTTTGAGTACTGAAATAAACAAATGACAAATGCTGCAGAGGATGTGGGGAAAAGGTACCCTGATTGATGCTTGGTGGGAATGTAAACTGGTGTAACCACTGTGGAAAACAGTATGTAGAAACATCAGAAAGCTGAATATAGACATACCATATGATCCAGACATCCCTCTCTGGGAATTTACTCAAACCAAAGAAATCAGCATCTGAAATAGTTATCGGTAACCCCACATTCACTGCAACACAACTCACAATAGCAGAGATACAGAGTCAACCCAAATATTTATCAGCTGTGGAGCGTATAAAGAAATTATGGTGTATATACACTATGGAGTACTACTTAACTGTAAAAAATGTGAAATCCTGTCTTTTACAACAAGATGGTTGCAATTAGAACCTATTATAATTAGTGAAATAAACCAACCTCAAAAAGACAGATACCATATGTTTCTTCTGATCCAATGTAACTAATAGAATAGTTGAAATATAATGTATTGGAGTGAAACAGACATTTTGAGGTCTGAGGACTGTTTATAGCCCTGCCTCTTCCATTGAGTAACAGTATTTCTTTACTTCTGTTCTGTATTGTTTCTCTCTCTCCATACTACATGTTGAATGCCTTTACCTAGAGCAGGGTTAACTATATGATCATTAAGTATATTGGAAATAGATTATGGTAAAATTAAGACTGGGTATCTCAGATGCAGGGGCAGGAAGGATTGTACTGTGGGGGGAGGGAGAATGCAGGGAATCCTACTATAGTTCTCAATATGTACAATATGAAATACATGAAACTTGTTTAACAAATAAAATTAAACATAAATAAAAAAGTAGAAATAGGAAAAGCACAGAAGCTGGAAAAAGCAGCAGTCTAGAAGACATACACAAAGTAAAGTTTGGGATTCTGCTGGCTTCAGAGACTCATGACTACAGGAGACTCACTCCCTACCCTAGGCAAAATACTCATTATCCAAAGCTAAAAATAGAGCATTATGGCTCGTAAATGAGTGAGGTGATGTGACTGTGATCATAACACTGTTCTGTACCAGAATAATGTAGGGGGAAAATCATAGGCAGACAACACAACATCTGCATCAAGTAACTTTGTAAATGAGAATGGCACCTTAAGTAAATATTATAGGCAATATTTATTAACACTCACATGTGAAAGCAGAGCTCATTTCCACTGTCCTACTCACAGTAGGGAAGCTAAAAATGCAGGTTGTATGACACAAAGGAAGATGATTTTGAAGAACATATAGCAGGTCTTCATACCTTGTTACTTCCTCCTGTGAAAACCCTAAAATCTGTTGAAGTTTGATTTGCAAAAACATTTTTTCACATCCAATACATGTATACAGTGCATTCTTTGCAAAATTCAGTAATTTTTGCTGAAGATTGCCTTTGAGTAAATGGATTTTCCACTTCCATTGCATGTGTAGAGATTTTCCTCTGTAAGTTCTCTGATAATAACAGCTGGCCTATGGTAGAAAATTTTCATCTATATCCATGTATCTTTTCTCCTGTGATTTCTCTCATGTGTGCTGAAGACTTCTGTCAAAGTAATTGTTCACAAAGATTCCATTATCGTGGTTTTCTTCTTTGTGTGAATTCTATCATGTATGCTGACATGTATTCCTGGAAAATATATGTCCTTTTTATATTTAGTCAATTTAAAATGTTTCCTTCTGTGTGAATTTTATGACTACTGAGCCTTGAATTCTGGAAAAATGTTTCTACACATTCTTTGCATTTATAAGATTTTTTTTTTTCCCTGTGAGCATGCTCTAATGAAAAATTAGTTGGGACTTCTGGCAAAATGCTTTTCCACACATATTACATTCATAAGGTTTCTCTCTTCTGTGAATTCTGATAGTTAATGAGGGCAGACCTGTGGCAAAATGATTTTCAACACGTTACAATCATGGTTTCTCCTTTGTATGATTTCTCTTACAGCTAATGAGGGCAGTCCTGGGGCAAAAGGGTTTTCCACAATTATTGCATTCATGAGATTTCTCCCTTGTGTGAATTTTCTGATGTATAATGATACTTGACTTCCAACGAAAGGCTTTTCCACATATATTGCACTTATAAGGTTTCTCTGCTGTGTGAATTATCTGATGTTTATTGAGGACTGAACTCTGGGAAAAGGCTTTTCCACACTCATTACATTTGTAAGGTTTCTCCCCTGTGTGAGTTCTCTGATGCATAATGAGATGTGACTTCCGATAAAAGGCTTTTCCACATTCATTGCACTCATAAGGTTTCTCCCCTGTGTGAATTTTCTGATGTGTACTAAGTTGTGAATTCTGGCAAAATGCTCTCCCACATATCTTACATTCATAAGGTTTCTCTCCTGTGTGGATTCTCTGGTGTTTAACGAGATATGACTTCTGATAAAAGGCTTTTCCACACTCACTACATTCATGAAGATTTTCCATTGTGGCAATGCTCTGGTCTTTAGTGATGTCTGACTTCTGGTAGATGTTTTTCCCACATTCAATGCACTCAATGAGCTTTTCCCCTATGTGAGTTCTGTGGTGGATAGTAAGGCAGGATTTACAGCTGAAAGACTTCCCACAGTGCTTACATATATGGACAGTTTTCCCCATATGTGTTCTCTGATACATTGTAAGATCTGATTTGTAATTCAGAGATTCATCATACTCAAAAGATCCATGGAGATTCTCTCCTGCTTTTTGATAGTTACTGAGATAGACATTTTTATGGAAATTTTTACTTTCAACCAGAGTTTTGTTTCCTGAAATGACAGTTGATTTATTAGAGGTGTGTTCCACACAAATCCTCTCACATTCAAAGGATAGTCTCTTCCTGTTATAGCATTCCCCTTGGCCACTGTGTTCAAAAGCCTGCTGTATATTCTGAATCTGGTGATGTTGACTAAGATGTTCCAAGTATTGGAGTGAGTTCCCAGTGACATTAGGTCCATGAGGTTTCTCTCCAGCTGGTATTTCATCAGGTCCCCTAGAGAGTAGAACATTCAATAAGTCATATACTTCAGGTTTCTTTCCTAAACTATTTTCCTTTTATATAATCAGGTTACAAATATGTCCTGAGGTTAAATTAAATCTTTTCTTTTTTTTTCTGAATTCAACTCTGTTGGGAGTTGAGATACTTTTGTAATTACAACTTGCCTCAAATTTACTTCTTCATTTTTCTGGTTGGTTTTGATAAGGTCATCCTTTCTGTTAGCAACTGCAATGAGAAAAAAGTAACCAAATTTATGAACCATATCAAACTGTTTCTTTTGGAATGCTTGTTGAAAAGCAAGTTTATTGTTATCTTAGTTGCATGGATTCAACATCAGTAGATGTTATTCATTTATGATCATTTGGTGGTTTTTACAATAGTTTTCCCAATATTCAAAAATATTCTTAACTACCTTAAATATTTTTTAAGTTGGGCAAGTGGGTCAAGCCACTGCTTGAGATGGCTGCTTCCCATAACTGTGCTAGTTTGAGCCTCGGCTACTCTGTTTCCAATATAGTTTGCTGATCATATATCCTTGTAGGCAGTGAATAATGCTTCAAGTGCTTGCAACTCTGCCACTCACTTGAAATACCTGAATATACACTTGAAAAGTCTAGATATCATTGCAGACATTTTGCTTCAGACTGGTCTACTAATAATGGTTCAGGAAATTTGGCAGCAGATCAAAGAATGGAAGATATTACTCTCTCCTGCTCTCACTGACATTCTTTCAAGTGGATGAAAATAACTAAAATAATTTAATTTGTATATTTTCAGATTTATTGGGGCTAGCATTGTGGTGCAACAGGTAAAAACACCACCTGCTATGTCAGTTCAAGGCCATGCTACCCCAGTTACAATCCAGCTCTCTGTTACTGTGTCTGGGAAATCAGTGGAATATAGTACAAGTGCTTGGGTCCCTGAACTCTTAGCTTCACCCTGGCTATTGCAACTATTTGAGGAGTGCACCAGTAGAGGACATGATTCTATCTCTTCCTCTGTGTAACTCTGACTTTGAAAATTCAAACTTTGAAAAGCAGTTAAAGAGAGAGAATAGGAGAGAGAGAGAGATCGATCTTCCATCTGCTCTTTCACTTCCAGATGGCCATAATGCACATGGGCCACACCAGAAAGAAGCCAAGAGTCAGGAACTTTGGGTCTCCCACATTTGTGGCAGGGTTACAAACACATGGGCCATCTTCCACTACTTACCTAGGCACATTAACATGTAGATGGATAGGAAGTAGAGCATCCAGGACACAAACTAGCCTCCAAAGGGGATGCCAACATTGCAGGTGGTATCTTTACCCACTACGCTGCAAGAATATTCTGATAAATAACCATTTTTGAAGGTGGAAAAGCATTTCATAAAAATGTCCACTCACTTTCTAAATGGAATAGTATGTTGAATACTTTCCAGTGGACATTACTTTTCCCTATTATTTTTCTTCTATACACTGCTGTTTGATAATTTGAAGTTTTGAATGTTTTTGATTTCTGTGTTGGAGGATTTCTTGTCAACTCCTTTCAAAGAAAAGCTGAGTCCCTTATACATTTATCTCTTTTCCATTTTAGAATTATATTTTAAAAAAAGAGAGGGTTATTATGGCACAGCACAAGCTACTTTCTGCAACACCAGCATCCCATATTTGCAATGCTAGTTTGAGAACTAGCTGCTTTGCTTCTGATCCAGCTCCATGCTAATGGACCTGGGAAAGGAATGGAAAATGACTCAAGCACTTGGTCCCCTGCCATGCATGTATCAGACCCAGATGGAGTTTAAGGCTCCTGGCTTCAGCCTAGTACAGCCCTGGCCAATATGGCCATTTGAGGAGTGAACCAGCAGAATGAAGATCTTCCTCTGTCTCTCTTTCATTCTGCCTTCAAAAAATAAAGTATATCTTTTTAGAAAGAAAAAGAAAGAGGAATTCTAAGTTCAAACTCTCCTCCCAAACAAACATGAGCTGCTCAATAAAATTCACAGGTACACTTGTCCTTAGATGTCAATCTCCTGGTGAGCATAAGACCACCAATTTTCATGTTCCTATGTAAGGTCATGCTTAGTATCGTGATTTCTGATGTCACAATACAAAGGCTCTTTTTTTATTTACTTATGGATCAGAGAATGAGAGAATGAGAGCCAGAAAGAATAAGGACAGAGCCATTTGACCTTTTAAATATTTGCAAAACCTATTATTTTCTTATTTATTTGACGGAGACAATGAGAGAGCTCCCATTCACTCGTTTCATCCACAAATTTGAGCAATAACAAGGCCTGTGTCTGTTCAAAGCCAGAAGTGGAAATTCAATTTCAGCAAGTAGTAAAACATTGTCTATGAGCTGGCCAATTAATAAGCACTGAAAGAATGAATAAATAATTGAATAAATGTCACAGAACAGGCTTTGAAGGTAGGAAGAAAGAAAAGTTAGAATTCAGGGGATGTATCAAACTGAGAAAACAGCTTTATAAAAGCCAGAAAACACTTGCATTTTGGTTAATCTAAGAAAATATTCAGCAAGAACAGGAAAGCAGCTAGATGGATATTCACAAGGCAGCCTTACTTGGAGGCTGTAGAATGCCTTTGTTGCATGTATGATACCAGCTGGCAGAAATTCTGGGATTTAGGAAAAGTTAGTAATGCTGCAGTCAGCATCTGCTGAGCTTTCTGTCCCAGTCACCCTGACCAACATGTGCTCACTTACTTGAAAGGCTCTGGTTCAGGGGTTTTTCCACCATCCATGGTTCTGCTCCTTGTTCCAACTTGAAGATCACCTCAGGCTTGTTTATGCAGTGCCCTTTTAATAGGAAATCATGTTTGACTTTGTGAAACCACTAACTTTGGGTTTTGAGGGACAACAGCTTGGGCCCAGAAGCAGTGCCAGAAAAAGGCCAAGTTGAATTGCTTTCTAGAGGGAAAAATTTTTCACGGCCTGAAATCCTATACCAACCAGATATGAAACCTTATAAATTGTTGAATTCTCAACTGAGAAAAAATAATTCTACCTGGGTACAAGCTGGTTTTTACTTACCCAAGGACAGTAGGATGCTATAGATTTCTAGCATCACATCCCTGTATAGGGTCCTCTGAGAATGATTCATGTTCTGCCATTCCTCCTTGGTGAAGTCCACAGCCAGGTCTTCAAATGACACCAACACCTGTAACAGCACATTCATCTTCAACATATCAGTCCTGGATCACTAATCACAAAGACTGGAAGTGGATTTTTCTGAGTGTCTTATTTGCTACTTATATATAACAGTTTCCTCTGTAATCTATATGGCAACAGAGAGCAAAATCACAATGAAACTACCCTACCCTTAAAATAATTTTAAAATTCCAAAATCACAATAGAGTTTCCCTTAATATTCTAGAACTGGGGTTTCTTCTAATGATTCTGAAAGCTGTTCACATGGTAATCAGTAAACATAAGTATAAATGCAAAACAAAACTAGCATGCCAGATGAACTAAAAAAGACACATGCTCAAGATTGACCAAGGTGAAAAAAAAATTCCTTTAAAATAGATTTGGGGAGGGAGCAATGTTTTGTCTCAATGGGTTAAGTTGCTTCCTGTGATGCTGGCATCCCTTAAGGTCAATGTTTAGAGTTATGGCTGTTATACTTCCAATCTGGCTTCCTGCTAATGTGCCTGGGAAAGGAGCAGGAGCTGTTGCAAGTATTTCGGACCCTACCACCCATGTGAGAGACACAGTTGGAGCTTTAGGTTCCTGGCTTTGGTCTGGCCCAGAGCTGGCAATTGTAGTCATTGGAGTAGTTAACCAATGGATTGAAGATCTCTCCTTAATTATGGTTCAAGTAATATAAATCCTTTTTCAAAAATTTAAAGCAATATATTTGTCTCTATTATCTGATTACTGTTCATTGAAACACCAAAGATGGTGACATCTTATGCAAGAATGTGTTTATGTTAAGATGCAACAAGAATAGTGGTAAATAGCAAAGAACACAGGCCAGGTACTGGGGAAAAAAAAAAACTCCACTACATCTAGGTGAGTGGTCCTGGGCTATGATGAGATGAAGACAGTGAAAGTGTTCAAGGAGGGCCTGGTACTATGATGTAGTAGGTCAAGCCTCTGCTGTTAGCACTGGAACTCTGTATGGGTGCTGGGTGGAGTCCTGGATGCTCCATTTCTTTTCCAGCTCTCTGGTGTTGGCCTGGGAAAGCAGTAGAGGATGGTCCAAGTGCTTGGGCCCCTGCACCCATGTGGAAGACCCGGAAGAAGCTTCTAGTTCCTCATTTCTATATTGACCCAGCTCCAGCCATTGTAACCATTTAGGGAGTGAACCACTGGATAGAAAACCTGTCTCCTCATCTCTCCCTCTCTCTGTAACTCTACCTCTCAAATAAATAAATAAATCTTTTTAAAAAATTGTTCAAGGAACTGATAATTAATATTTATATACTTGACCCAATAAAATTTTATGTGCTACTTTTGTAAACTTGTTTATAAACTATGTTCATAAGCATCATAATGTATCCTGCAACAATTAGAATAATTATTATTTTTACATGAAAATGAGTACTCACTCCCTCAGGCACAGGGTGCTTCAATAGAATGTGGTAGTTACTTAAAGATATTTGCACTCTGAAGTGCAAAGAAGACTCCACTGGAGGCAAATGGGGAAGGACTAAATGGCTATTTAGAGGGGAAGAGACCAAAGAGAGACATTGCCAGAGGCCAGGTGGAAAATATCACTGCAGCCATTTGAGGAATGCAGCAGAATGAAGCTGGGAGTTATGTGAACAGTCTAATCTGGGACATTGCAGCTTGGAAAGCCAGTAGTGGGGCACAGCCCACTCACCTCCAGGGATGTAGCAAGTTCAAGGAAATTTTTTACTCAAATGTTCTATTCTCTTCCTCTTTCTGGGTCAGGTGGTGATCACATGATATCTGGTCAAGATCTGCATGTAGAGAATGCTGTTTTTAGTTAAGCAGAGGCTTGTCCTGGTGTCACCAAGGGTATCTGGCAGAAATAGGGCCAGCACCATGGTTCACTTGGTTAATCCTCTGCCTGCAGTGCTGGCATCCCATATGGGTACTGGGTTCTAGTCCCAGTTGTTCCTCTTCCAGTCCAGCTCTCTTTTGTGGCCCAGGAAGGCAGTGGTGGATGGCCCAAGTGCTTGGGCACCTGCACCTGCATGGGAGACCAGGAAGAAGCACCTGGCTCCTGGCTTTGGATCAGCACAGCACCAGCCATAGCAGCCATTTGGGGGGTGAACCAATGGAAGGAATACCTTTCTCTCTGTCTCTCTCTCTCTCACTGTCTGTAACTCTACCTGTCAAATAATTTAAAACAAAAAGGGCAAAAATAAAAGCCACAGGGCAAGACAGAGAGAAGTTCCTGCTCCTTGCTTGGAGAGAGTCCTGCTGGCCCCTACTTTTCTATAATCTTTTATTTTCCTTTCATTGCACACCATCACCTCTTCAACCTGCATATTTGCTGCATGGTTCACAGCAAGGGGCACCTGAACAGGGACCTGACGAGGAAGGATCACCTCAAACAAATGAAAATGAAAAGTTTAATGGAGAAGAAGGCTGCCCAAACATGCAGTCATGACCATAACTTTTGTGAATGGAGTTTATCTTTACCCAGAGTAATGGGGTAGGATTTAAAGATCAAGACTAAACAATATTGTAAAGTTTTAAAACAATTCTTGAAAGGGAGAGGAATCATTGTATCAGAAAAAGTTGTACAGGAATTTTAGTCAACAGTAATATTATATATTCCTAGATTTCCAAAGCATGAAACTAGATATCCAAGGGAAAACATTGGGGATATGTTTAAAAAGGAATAGAATTCACTTCTGATTTTTTTATGCAGTGGATGAAATGTGAAATCCAATGAATTAAAGAAATCCATATATAACTTGGAAGAAAAACATATCTGTGAAATAGAGATTTAGAAGAGAAACCAAAGAAAATATTATAACTAGAGAAGTTAATGTCAAATAAAAAATACAGTGGAATTCTTAACAACATACATGTAAAGCAGAATAAAAAGTATCTGAGTGGGAAGGTAAATCTTAGGAAATGTCATGGATGAGAGAAAAGGATGAAATTGTAAGTTAAAAACTTTTTGATGGGATACTATCAAATGACCCAACATAAATAGATCTTTGGATTTTCTGAAAGTATGGAAAGAGATTACATTGGAAGGTGTATTCAGTGAAGTAATTATGGAGAAGTCCCCTAACCTGGAGAAAGAAAGGGACACTCATGTACAGGAAGCACACAGAACTCCTAATACACATGACCTAAAAAGATTTTCACCATGATACTTTGCAGTCAAACTTTCAACAGTAAAGCATTAATAAAAATTATAAAATGTACACAAGAGAAACATGATTACCTTCAGAAACATATCCAATTAGACACAGATGATTTCTCATCAGAAACTCTACAGGCTAGGAGAGAATGCAGAGATTGTCACCCCTGAATACTATGTCCTGCAAAGCTCTCATTTATGAATGAAGGTGAAAAAAAAAACTCTCCATAACAAACAGAAATTGAAAGAATATGTCATCAGGGGCTGGTGCTGTGGCATAGTGGGTAAAACCACCATCTGCAGTTCTAGCATCCCATATGGGTGTCAGTTCAAGTCTTGCTATTCCATTTCTAATCCAGCTCTCTGCTATGGGCCTGAAAAAGCAGCAGAAGATGGTTCAAGTCCTTGGACCCCTGCACCTGTGTGGGAGACCTGGAAGAAGCTCCTGGCTTCAGAATGGCTCAGCTATAGCTGTTGAGGCCAACTGGGGAGTGAACCAGCAGATGGACAACCTCTCTCTCTGTACCTTTCCTTCTCTTTGTGTGTAACTCTCATTTAAAGACACAAAGAAGGGTACTATGCAATAATTAAGGGATCAATTTAACAGGAAGACATGGATATAATAAACATCCAATATATACACCAATGCCAGAGCACCAGGCTATTTAAAATAATTTTTAATTGACATAAAGGGAAACATGGAGTCCAATAATGGAGGACTTCAACATCTAGTTTCATCAATCGACTGATCAACTTGACAGAAAACCAACAAAGAAATATCAGAGCTAATCAACACTATGGGCCAGGGCCAGTGCTGTGGTGCAGCAGCTTAACACCCCGGCATGAAGTGCCAGCATCCCATATGGGTGCCAGTTCTAGTCCCAGCTGCTCCTCTTCCAATCCAGCCCTCTTCTGTGGCCTGGGATAGCAGTAGAAGATGGCCCAAGTCCTTGGGCCCCTGCACCCAGCAGAAGCTCCTGGCTCCCGGCTTCAGATTGGCACAGCTCTGACCATTGCAGCCAATTGGGGAGTGAACCATCAGATGGAAGACTTCTCTCCCTCTGCCTCTCCTCTCTCTGTGTGTAATCCTGACTTTCAAATAAATAAATCTTAAAAAAAAAACCACTGTGGATCAAATGGACTGAACAGATATCTACTGAATATCTCACAGTTGCAGAATACACATATTTTCATCACTATGTGGAACCTTCTCTAGGATAGACCATATGCTAGGCCATAAAGCAAGTCTCAGCAAACCCAAATTATTGAAATCATACCATGTGTCCTTTCTGACCACAATGAGATAAAGCTATAGATTTAGAATGTAAGAATCTCTAGAAAATATGCAAATATATGGAGACTGAATAACACAATATTGAATGATGAACAGTGATTCACAGAAGCAATCAAATGGGAAACCAAAGAATTCCTGGAAATGAATGAAGATGACACTACAACATGCAAAACTTATGAAATGGGGCCA